GAACCTCTGCTGCAGGACCGCGCAAGTCGGGATGTTGTGGCATACGTCGTGGCTCGAGTTTAGGCGCTCATGCGCCGCGCCGCTCCGCCCCGTTGAGCCCGGCCCGACTTCCGACTATCCCTCGCAGTCGCGGCGCCTCCAACCTTGTACGTGAACGTCGATGGCCATCTCGCCTGGCGGCCTGGGAGCGCTCCCGTCCCTCCCCTTGCTAACATTAGCAATCAGTACTTTGAACGCCAAGAGGCTCTGATGCCGCAGCGCCCGGTTGCATCTACGGCTACACATCAACCGGGAAGTACATTCTTACCTTCCTGGCTCGGTCAGACGCTAATGCTCAGCGCTACCACATTGCCCCTTTCGGTCGTGTTCTCTGAACTTGGCATAGGTTCAGATTTGGTGACAACACCGGAGCGTCGGCCCTTGCAATCATCTCCTAAGAGGACTTCCCTATAAATATACGAGGTGTATCCGACCCGTTGTCTTCCTGTGCGGTGATGGTGAGCGAAGTTCGCGTACTAGACGCGGATCAAGTCCACTTCCTCACATCCGTTCTTGCTCACGACTTTGAGCCCTTCCTTTGGACCGCGGACCCCCTCTTCACTGGATTTGGTGCCGTCAGCAAGTGGGTGGCGGATCGCAAGAACAACATCGTCAATTTTCACCCCCTGTTCGCAACGCCCGAGGAGGAAGAGAAGAAGGCGTTCCGACAGGTGTGTGCGCCGGTTTGATCTGACAGAGCTGTACGCAAAGTAACCCTCTATCTAGGCAATTGATCGTTTCTTCCGTGATCATTACCATTGCCTCCGATTCCGTGGCGGCCAGGAGCTCAAAAAACGCACTAGGTGCGCATCGGCTCCGTCATATGGACTGATGTCCTCACCGAAAACCATGTAGGAGAAGTCTTGCTGGCCCTCCGGTGAACCGGAAGATCGGTCGTCCCAAGCATGGTCAGCGCGTGAAGGATACCCACTTGTACTCTCTACCGTCTCCCGTGCCGGGTGAGAGGAATACGTTTGCATCTTGTGGCTACAAGTTCAAAATCAGCAAGCCTCTTCAGACTAGGTGCCCCACTTTCTCATATCTCGAGTCTCAGTGTGCTGACTTTCCCTTGCAAGATGGTATTTTCACTGGGACCACTATGTAGAAAACGGTGGACGCATCATCAAGGCTTGCGAGTTCAATCAACGCATGGAGATCCCCGCGATGGTAAATCTTTCCCGTATCTCTTCGATACATGCTTATGCTTTGCTAGGCTGTCATTGTCCGCGACCCGGAGTGGCTTGCGAATCAGGAGGGTATGCATAGATACGTTGTCTCTCGCCCATGGCCCTAGCGATCCAAGGCTTTGTCTTCGTGCTCCATGAAAGCACTACTCTTGCTATAATATATTCTCCCCGCCCCCAAGGACATCATTTTCATGCCGCTTACCTGTTTGCCCTGCGCTTATGCGCTCTCTTCTGAGCTGATCTATCAAAGGCTGGTGGCCATTGCAGACGTGATCGTCTTTCAACTTCCACCTCTACCTCTACCTCCGCCTTCCCGCTTTCTCTATTCACCATATACGCGACGATGTGAGTGATGATGGACTCATAGAGTGAACTTGGAGCTGAAGACCCAGACACAGGTCGTATATCGACGGTCAAGTGATCGGGTGCGAGGATAGTACGTGCTTTTTGCTCCAGCGGGAGACTATACGGAATTGTGCTATTGCTTCGTACGTTCTAGTGCCACTTGTGGTGCATGACTTTGAATGCAGGATGTCCGTATGAGTATCTTTTCAACGAGGCGTTTTGACGAGAATTCCATGCAACAACTCTCGCAAAGACTAGTTATCGTGATGCTCGCGTGTCAGTTTCCCTTGAGTATAGACGCGACGCGGACGGCGCAAGGTCCCGCCATGACATGATTGAACAGGGACATGGTAAAGGATAGCTCGCCCGTACTGTACAGGGACATTATGGACGAGAGGCATGCCGAACGGTTAGTACACACACAAAGAAGCTGCGGACAATCCCGCTCGTTGCGGAAGTGTGCTGCAGGAGAGACGTGTGGGCGTTATCCGGAGTTAACAGCCGCATATGGTACGCTATCCCACGGGAAAGCATACAAAACGATATTTCCGCAGGGACAACGTGGGGTCAAGTTGCAGCACCTATTCCGCCTCTTCTGCCCTCATCCTACTACTCAAGCTCTTTAGCACGATGGTGTATGGCCCTCCTCCTGGAATACATGACCCTGCTGGCTTAGCAGTCGCCCTCTCAAACATGGGGCTTGGTGACCGTGCGTTATATCCTGCGTTGTCGTTCGATAGCGGGAATTGACCAGCATCTAGGCAGGTACATCGAAAACCAAGCGAACCGACATGCGTATGTCTACGGCAATTTCGAGGTTCCTCTTGCTTTCAGTCGTGATTGTTGAGTATCCGTGTTTCCGAGCTATTATGCAGTAAAGTCACGAGTTATTTTCATACTGTAGGCCTAAGACATCTGTCGTCAGTCAGGGGGTGCGCGGCGGCTGGGTGAGGGCTATTCGTCGCGGGTCGACGATCTCTCATGCGAGCACGGCGCCTTCGTCGTCCAGTGGTATGTTCGTTGCGTCCTTACGATCTAAGCATTGAGTTTGTTTAGGAGCGCATTCGTCTTCGTCGACCTCCCCGCCTGGTGAGACGCTCTTTTGGTCCCACTTCCAAAGCACATCGTTGATTGTTCCCCAGTTGGCACTTCGTCGAATACACAGTACTTCTCAGCCCCTTCCTCAGTCGCATCGAAACGAAGCGGAGCCCCTAGTTCTGCTAGTGCTACTCCTAACGAGGTTGCAGACTACATCCGCCAACTATCGCCGACCGAGATCGACTGGAGGCTTCGTCACGAACCAGGTGCCATGATTGCCTGCATGGTCCGCGCAAAACTTTCATCCTGGCACGGACGCTGGTTCGTAGTGAGATCCGGGAGCCCTCCTGGCGTCACCAATAGCATGCGATTATATTTTCTATCACCCGCTCTCGACTCTTTCTAATGCTTTTGACAGTCTTCGATTAAACGCGATGGCTGGTGGCAGTTTTACAGACGGTCTTCCCGAGGTACACTATGCGGGCGAGCAACTGACCGCTTACGATATGTTCTGCGTTGACGCAATCCAGGGAAGGCTGAAGGGGCTGTCAAGGGTTCCTGGCGATGACGTGAGCCAGTTCTGTTGTAGTCTCCAGTTGTATCCTGCTCATACATGGGCTAGCCCGCGAAGCACAAGAGCTCAGCCACGGAAAGGGCTCGCGAGTTCGCCCGCAGGTGGCCCTGGCTTCCCCGTTACGTCTCGCACTGCGAGAGGACCAAACTGTGGCTTTCTCCGCCCGTGAATGCCAGGGACATCATCATCGAGGCCGTCCCTGACGATGGCTGGGAAGAGCTCATCGCACAACGTCCCCTTGTACAAAGAGTCCCCGGTCGCGATCAAGCCTTTGGGACTTCTGACTTCCTTCACCCTTCACCCTCGCCCTCATTCATCTCAACCGGCACTCGCCTCGGCTTCGAGAACTCTAGGGCACTCTCAAGGCGAAAGCACTACGTCGTATTTGTCGGAAGAACTGTCGGTGTCTTCGCTACCGAGTCAGTTCTCACTCGTCTCTTGTTGAGAAAGCAGTATGCTCATCCTCTACAGCGAGGAGTCCCGCGCCGCTTATGAAGGCATTTCATGTGCCATTCATTGCGCTTACCCAACAGAATGGGACGCGCAGTTGGCTTTCCAGCAAGCCTGGCTCTTCGGCGAAGTTCATGCGCGCCAGTGACGTGGTACTGGGCGAGTATACGTTTATCTGTGACCGGTTCTTGACCACTCGCGTCCATTATTACTCTCGTGAATCATAATGCTCTGCTATGTAACGCAATCATATCATGGTCTTCGGAGTCGTCTATGTGGCAAACATGAGCGTGAATGGAAGCTGTCAAGGTGAGGATGCGCAGATTGCTGGTATGCGCTAGAAAGTCTGATGGATACTATGGTCATGAGGGGATTAGCTTCTCGATGCCCGGATGGATGATCCCGAGCGCATTCTCGCAAGCATGCGTCGCACTCAGATGTAAAGGTGAAGCACCGGCCGGCTACGCCGGAGCCGCCAAATCACTATTGTGCGGCGTCACGCGTCATCGCTCGCCCCTGAGCTTCCTTCGAGAATGTTAGAGGTCTTCATGTAGGGGGTATGACTGGGACTCGATGCGAAAACATGCCGCCGGGAACACTAGCAGCGAGCGAGTGTCGAACGGATGCAAGTAGAATTGGACTTGCTGGGAGTCGCGGGTCACTCGTGCGAACTATCTGAGCGGTACTACTCTGCGCGCCCAGTCGAGTTCGTGATGACACTCAGAGCGCTCGGGCGGCATGTCCAAGAAGACTACATGCTATGGAGTGAAACAAGAGCGTGCATCGGCTACCCGACATTTCAGCCGTCATCAGCCATCAGTTCCACATTGCTCTGTAACCACTCCTTGAAAATTACCGACTCTGGGTGAGCTGGCAGATAAAGTCAGAACGATTGCGTTGTCAGGCTACGATGATATCGGGTGACCAGCTAGCTGCGGCGTGAGTCGTAGAGTGCGCGCGGCGAGAGAACACGAGACTGACAAGGCTTAAGAACGTGTTTCTGATTCACGCGACCACCATGCGACAAGCGCCTACCGCTTGAGCCACGAAACAGCAAGGACTATAAGAACCTCCGTTCCTAACGCGGCATGAGCAATCTTGAGAAGATACACTGGCGGCGGCGCGGCTTTGATGGCGCCAACCTGGCTTCGACACGCTCCGTCCGAAGTAGAACGCGTGATACATGGCCTGCCCCTCGAGCTTGACGCAGCCGGAGGCGAGGGTCCTTCGCTTTATAGCCCCGACGAATCAGAGGAGGAACACCACTTCCGGATCTGGACGGTATGTCGCTCCCCACCCAATTCGCCGCGTATGATTTTGAAAAGTGATAGATGGCTCGCTTCGTCGATTCTCAGATCGCCTCTACGGACAGTCTTCACTCTTTCACCACTCGCAATCTTCAACTGGACGATGTGCCACCCTCGCCCGCGTCGGGTCCCATTCGATACATAGCCGAGGACCAGGCCATCGACGACATGCCTCGTGACACCCACCTACCGGGATCATTACGCAACCCTGCGGCGAAGGATCTTCTGCAGGAGACTTTAGACGGCTATGTCACATCGTACTATCCCTCGCTGGTCGCATTCCTCACCCGACTGCCACGGGAGTCGGCCTCCGCTACTGCAAACCTTGTTTGGGAGTGTCCGCAATGCCAATATTACTTTTTCCCTCTCAATATGGGCGCGGACGAGCACGCTCATCTCCTCGGGATCGCCCCCCATCTCGAGGCAGTCGATATAGAGAGCGGTTCTGTCTCTATCGATGCGTCAGACCACGATATGCTACTCCGGTACATCGATCATTTTGCCTACCACCACGTCGATCATGCGCACCTACGCCAGATTGGAGTTTACTTGGAGTTCCCAAAACCGGAATCAGCCTTTCCTGTACGTATACCTACCCATGCATGATCGCTGTTTAACATTCTGAGACCAATGTGTATAGGCCCCGGCAGTTTGGTACTTCGTACATGACAGGCCGCCAGACAGCGACCTCACTGATGACGAGCTCTCAGTTGAGGTGCTCCGCGACCTCTTGCAGACCCGGCGCGACTTCGAGAAAGAGGACTCTCGCCTAGGCGCGGAGTTGCGCTCGAGCCTACACACAAAAGCCTCGCGCGCTGTCCGGCGTACCCTTCATCGCCTGTCAGTATATCTCACTATCTCGCGCTACAACCAGCGACTCGGACGGCGTGATATGGTGCAGGGTCTTTTCGCCGCTGGCCGCTCCATCACGGAAGTTGGACGCGCGCTCGTTCATAGGATACGTAAGGACGAAGAAGATGCTGACCAGCAAGAGTCGTTACGCCAGTACTACAGTTACAAACTTGCTTATGGCGCCGCGATTGCTTCTGGATCTTGTTAGGACATAGTATTCTGGGCTCGCCACGTCTTAGGGATGTTCATGGTTGCACGCCTCGTGCACCATTAGCTGGATTGGTAGACTTCAGAGCTACGAGGGAATACTGGGCTACTTCGCCTCGTAAGAGATAGTCCGAGATTGTCGCCGGAAGGATGTCGCAGAACCTGTGCGACCATTGGTCAGGGGTTCTGATCGAGTTTCGTTATTGCTTGTTTACTATAGATACCTTACTGCTGTGGGATTGATACGATGCCGAACCTCACAATTGCACGCATACGGAGAAAGCGCTCGGTGGCGGTGATAGTCCTGGTTCTGTATTAGATTGTTGCTGCCTTCTCAATTGGGCAACAAATCCGGCGATGGTCTCGTCACACAATCAGATCAATAGTTTGGCGGGGAGGCCAATCACTATAAGTATATGAGCTGCATGGGGATGACACTCCATGCTGCTCTCCGATAACATGGATATCGACGAGGCAGATCTACAAAATGTCGAGTTGGCCGACGACTCGGTGGACACGTGGACATTTGTGGTAGGTTCCATCGCGATCTGGGGTGCGCGCTGCTAACGCGAATAGTAACAGAGACGCAAAGTGCTGGCGGACTTGCGTACAGACCGTCCGAGGACAGCACATCCCGACGACGCGGCGGCCACAACACTACTTCATATGGACCCCGAGTTGCAAGTGCTCCCCGATGCGCTGAGTACAAGCGCATATCTCCGTGAGATTCTAGTGAGTGAACAAGCACACGAACCTATGCGGGGAGTGAAAATTCAACACTCCCACCAGCGCAGTCGGATGGCATGTAGATCAGCTCTGCAGGCAAAACATGAGATCAGGCAGGAGCGCCTATTCTTCCGCCACGAAGTGCACATGCTGGCCCACATCCGCGCACAGGAGGATGGTCTTCGAGACCCAGTGATCGGCGAGGAAGATGAGGACCACCTCCTTGAACGGAAGCTTCGCGCGATACACCGCTCGGCTGTGTATAAGCGCGTGAAGGAGCGCGCTCTGCTCTACCGGGAGCAAGAGACAAGGAACAGGGAAGCAGTTCAAACATTGAAACGGGAGGGGTTCGATACCGAATGATATTCGAGAAAACGATCGCTTCAGCAGCGGATGTCGCGCGACGAGCCACTTCGTACATAACCACTTTGAAGGTTCGATATAGAGTATTGAGAGCCGCATGTTGCAGCCCTTTGAACCAGGGAAATCAAGATCCTACGAGAGAGCGTCGGGAGAGCGGATGGAAGATGGGAGTGGGAGAGCTTCTCGTTTCAATCTACAATCAGTCTGAGCGCGGTTGGCATCAGCCGCACCTAGACCGAGGTGATGCGGTAAGCCCGGTCCGAGAGCAGCCGGCAATGGCCGAGGGCCTTCGCGCGGGTGCTGCAATCAGCCACCTTTCCTCTAACCCCCACTACGACACCCTCGGAGCTCAACCCTTTTCAATCTCGACTACTATCTCTCCATTCTCCCTACGCATGGTTAATATTGTGCTAGCGTTGTTACTTGCAATATCTTCCTGTTGAAATGCTATACTACTGCGGGGCGCCCATAACTCCGTCTCGCGATGCCCGAAACTTTCGCGGCCAGTTCGCGGGTCGGGGCTACAGTGCATATCTCGCAGTTGTCCCACTGTGCTGTCTGATCCATGGGACTCATCGTGACAGGTTTGGTCCATCATGAGTCGCAACGCTGACTGTGTCAGATGGCTCCATTGAGCTAGTTCCTTTCCCGGGCAGCGCGCGCGCCCGGCTGAGCTTCGCCGGGCGGTGTTACTGCATTCCTAAGTGCTATCGATACTGCTTCTACTCCATGAAGAGCGCATTCATGCATGGATCACCATGGCGGCGCAGGCTTTGTTCCGTATGGCTGAATACATAGGCTGCGTTCTGGCTTCGGTCATCTGTAACCCATGAAGCGGACCCCTCCAGATAGTCCGACAGGACAACGCGGAGGGCCTTCGCCCTCCAAACGTCTGCGATTCAGCCTGGGTGGCTCCGGAGCGTCGACCTTCGCTATGCACTCCGGGCCATACAAACTGGCCAAGACTACGCTCTCCTTTTGCCATGCCAAAAGCACTCGGGCTCCGATGCCTCTGTATGGCACGCACACTCAGAAGGATCCCATCCCTCGTGGGTATACCGGCACGGGAGGGAAGTCTTCAATGTGCTCAAACGTTCTGGAGAGCTTGGGCGCGGAGGGCTTAGCCATGGCTTTCCGACGCCCATTTGGGGGCGTGAATATTCGAGATGCAAACCGCAAAGGCGAAGGTGAGTTAGAAGCAAAGTAAACATTGTTCCTTATCAACTGAGCGGTGTAGAATCCAGGAATGGGAATCACACTCTCGACTGTGGCGATAGTGATTGCGTTTCTCCACCCGAGCCTCGTTCCGAGGAACCCACTGTATCGCGCAAGACAGAAGAGCGAATTCGATCTGATCTGACGGTGAGCACTATTCTCAATACTTGCTACCCGAAAAAATGTCAACAGCGAACGTTTAGGAGTTTCCTATTCTGAGGTGGGCACTACTCTGGCGAGACATCTTCTTGAATGAGATCATTAGGTTGGATGGGCGCGCGGAGGCATTGGAACTAGATCGTTGCCCCGACTGCGGCGATGAAGGGTTTCCCACTTACCGGTGCAAAGACTGTCAGGGAGCGAACCTTTGCCTAGTATGCATGAAACGCTGGCATCGCTACAATCCGCTGCATAACTTTGAGGTAAGCGTACATGTCTGGTGCTATTCAGGAGACGGTATCTCAGATCATACAGCGGTATGACGGGAACTTCTACAAGAGGATAACTTCGGCAGAACTGGGCATACGTATCCAACTTATGCATCCGCCTGGCGAGACCTGTGAATTCCGCGCCGTACGCCGGATCGAAAAGTTTACTATCATTCACACAAACGGCGTCCATCAGGTCCCCGTGGATTTCTGCGGCTGTGACAAAGGTGCAGATGTACCATTTCACATTCAACTCATGCGCCTACGCCTCTGGCCTGCAACTTGTGTTAACCCGCAAACCGCCACTACTCACGAAGCATTGGACCAGTTCACGCGTATCTCGATGTTTGGACGTCTGAACGTGTACGATTTCTATCGATCGCTTGAGGCCGCAGTAGACGGTGCAGGTCTTCATGAACTTGCGGTCAGGTCTTCGCTGAAACTCAATGGAATCGTCGTACTAATAACTCATGAGAGTGTATGTTTAGAATGTTCGCAAGCAGCTCACGACATGCGTACGGCAGTTCAGGCATATCCTCATGTTCAAGCGCGCTGGCCGTGGCCATGAGTCAGGCGGAATCGCGGCTACGCCTCTAGGCGCTTGCGCAGTACGGTGTCCTGCATGCCCCGACTTTGATCTCAATGTACCCTTGGATTGGGCTGCGAGTCCTTTTCGGCGAGTATATCTAGTTGCTATTGAGGTTTCTTGAACTCATGTGGGACACCTCAGTTGGCTCTACAGGGTTATATTGTCGCTAGACGCCAATTTCCGACTGAACAACAAACTTACCGACCCCGAAAATCGCAATACTGATCCCACTCTCACCGACGGTTGCGCGTATATGGCCCCCCGATTGCAGTATGAGGACTACATTGACAAGACCGAGGGCATCCGAGAAGCAGAACCTGTGAGCTAACCCATTTGGAGTTATACCACCCTATCTGATGTCAAGTAGCCAAGCGACTGTTCTCGGTTCGGCGCTCTGGTTATGGCCAACATGAAGGGTGGAAGGGGTATGCGGACCACGGGGATAGGTGGATGCTTCTGTGCTCGTCATGAGATAGTGCAGGCATTGGGCCTGGCTACGCTCAAGAAGGGGGAACGGTGCGTCATAACGGTAGCCTGAGTGTTGGTTGTCATTGCCTGACAGCCGTATCGTATCAATCAGCTACAGCACGATGGACTGGGTGTTTTGCGGCGCGCTGTCGTTCTTACGCTGTGCGGAAGTCACCGTCTGCTACGACATTGCCTGCCAATGGAGCAAGAACTTGCACAAGCGTATCAAGAAGATGAAGCCAGACTGCCTCGTGTTTCCCGGCGCGACGGAGTTTCTGAAGCACCACATCGGCAACACGATAACCTACGTAGTGCCGAAATTTCATCTATACGCCCATAAGCTCTTTTGCCAGTTGCGGTACGCACTTGGCTTACTATTTGGCACTGGAGCGACCGACGGGGAAGGCTGCGAGCGTGTTTGGTCTGGCGCCAATCCTGCTGCGTCCAGTCTACGGGAGATGGGAGCTGGAGGCATGAGCGATACCATGGACGATATGTGCAGTTCATGGAACTGGAGAAAAACATGCGGGATAGGTGAGTCATGTTCGGATTGAGGTCGAGGACAAACTAGTGACGGTGCGGTGTAGCCGATCTTCTTTGCGAGCGTATGGAACGGGCGCTGGACAATGGCGCTAAGCAGACGGCAATCTTCACGGAATTGACTGAGGCGATTGAGGCGGAGGATCCCTCTAAAGTAGTTGACGCTCGAGCCGCTATCAGAACCTGGGAAGAAGATACTGTGAAGAAGGAGGGGACGCGGTGCCCGTACAGCACCGAGAAGTCCGGTGCCGTTTTATCTGCTTGTTTCCCTATACCCATACTCAGTTTACACATCGGCAGATCTGTCCATCCTTGAGATTCAACGGCAGGCGAGGCAGGCACAAGGCCTGTCTTCTCAACACCCTCTGATGGACGCCGAAGATGCCACTTCGTTGGCAGATCTCATTGTTCGCGGGCTTAAGATAGAAGAAGACAGGTATGTTCTTAGGGCTCCATCCGCGTTCTTCAGCCTCATTCTCCTGAAGGGCGAGTTTCTACTTGAAGCACAAGACCTCGGGGGGTACCACCAAACAAGTCGGAGCTAGGACGAATGCCTTGAACGCGATCTTGCGCACCATACGAACCTTCCGCAAAGAGCAAGAACTCTACATGCCCGATGTTTACGCTGCCCTTACTTTGGACGAGCGCGACCCCGACCGTGGAGCAGCGCTAACAGTCAACTTATACCTGCCATCAACACCACCCGAGAAAGACGAGAGTCTCACTTCGCCAGCGGCGCGCATGATGGAAGCCGAAGTGAGATGGGCTTCGATGGCTGATGAACTCGACAACTTGCGAGACCAATTGCGCCTGAAAGGTTGTCTCAACAGATTCAAGATAGCGAATATTACCGGACAGCGCGGCAACACCCGCGCTCGCGAAGCACAAGATGCTGTGTACGAGAACGTCCAGAGGGCCGCGAATGCATATAGACGACACCACGATGCTTACTTCAAGTTGGTCGGACCGGGGAAGGGTGGTTGGGAGGAGACCATGCGTGAGCTGGACGATAGTCATTGCCGCGGGTTGGGCGACCGCCTACTCGAGCAGGTAGAGAATATGTCTGAGGACAAGATCAAGGAGTTCCTGGCGGGGAAGCGGGGTGCAGAGTCGTCCGGAGAGACCCAGTATGAGCTGCCGTGGATTTGGTTCAATCGCACTCAAGAGTCGGTATTCCAAATCACAGACGGTGAGTCGCATGAATTACTCATATTCCCTAGTGAACGAAACTTAATGATCATTAGAACTCATGGTAGAGTGGTGCAAAAGCCGCGCTCGGGCACAGCACTGGGTACAAGAGGTTCGCCTTCTCGACGAAGAGATGCGGCGCGTCGTGGCATTCAGTGAAAACATGGCCAAGATATGGGACGCCCGTTGCGAACCCAAAGACCGTATGGACTTTGGAGAAAAGCATGCGTACGCATGTGATCAGGGTTGGGCCGATGGCGCACGGGCGTACGCATGCAAACAGGCGTGGATTCGACGGACACAAGCTTCGAACTGGCGCGTACAGCTGGCCGCATCTCGAAAGGAAGCCCAATACTTCCTCGCGCTGCACACTTCCGAGGGTTTAACGGTAGGAAGTGTCACTGTGGGGCCTGTAGCGCATACGGGGCAGACAACACTCATTATAGGCGAACCAAAGCAGGACCAGACTACCGCGGCGAACACGAGATCGTCCGAGATCAATGCCCCGCAGCGCAAGCAGAGAGGATCAAGGGGTCATCGCCCTGGAGTGTCAATGTCGGGTACAGTCAAGCGTCGAAAAGGGAAGGGCGAAGGTCAGGACGACAAGAGCACATAGACATCACGTTCAGCAGTCATATCGGTTGTACCGTCGCCCTTCAGCGCAAGGCTTGACTCTCAGTCAGTGAACACTGTCGTAGGATATCGTCTGAAAGCATCAGGCACAACATGAAGAGGTATCAAAGCGAGAGCAGCGTCCTGGCCGACAGGCTCCTGCCACCCTGTGAGGTAACACAACTATCGACGAGTGAATCACGGACAGCTTGTCGAAGACACGGCCCAGCCGGAACGACGAGACCATCTGATATTACGAGTCATCCCTGACTCGTTGATTTACCGAAGATTCAGACATCCGTGCCTGAGCGTTTGGCCACTTCAGGCAGTTGTTTCCCACACAACTCTCGTGTCGCGACTTCCGGTCTAATCGGTCCGAGCATGTGATCGGTCTAACTCGGTCCGAAGATCTGATCTTGATTGACCTGATCTGACATGATCTGACCTGATCTAAGTATAGTAATGGCTGATCTGAGTATAGTAATGGCTGATTTAGATAGATGCTGTGGTAGAGACTGAAGTATTGCTCTGAGCATAGACATTGTATATACCATTCTGAC